AAATATTTATAACAGATGTTGCAAAAAAAACGAGCGCGAAAAGTCGATTCCGCCGATACTCGCCTAAAGATGATTCCGATAAACTACATCTCCATAGCCGTAGCTCTATACTCGCGCTTTTTGCGTACATTTTTACTTATTGACGGTAATGTTTTAACATCCGATGTACGTAAAAGATCTCAATATTTGTAAAAAAAAAATATATCACCGCACTTCTTCCTACTTTACGGATTAAACAAGGACGGGCGTAGAATAACGCGTCGTACTGTGCAATGACATTAAAACGATCCTATTGATTGTTTGAAAATAAAACTGGATATAATACCATTATCACGATATAGATGGGTATATGTGGGATCTGAAAGTATTTTTCTCGCTGTAAAAACTGGCATACTTTTTTAAATATATACATCAAACTAAATACAGCATTCAGATATTTATAAAGGTGCGTATTTCTAGTATATTTTTTACGAATATTTCTATGTATGTCGCAAGAAATAGATACGTATCGCGGCTCGAGGGAAATGTTTGCGGAGATCGTTCTCCATGGATATAGCTTCAGGCGAGCAGTTACATGGTAGAATCTCATTCCTCGTTCAATTTCGAGCGGATTTTACTCTCAACAGAATTTTGTTACAAGACCTACAATGAGATGCTTAAGACGCTCTGTACCTCAACGCTAGCCGCAGACGAAATGAACCTACATTTCATAAACGGGTCATTAGGTCACGAATTACTGATTACCCCAGCAAATGTGTATGTGCGCGGGACAACTCGATCGGGTATCCCGAATAAGTTGCAATCTCGCACATCCATTTTTCATTCGGTCGAGCTTCATACGCGGCGATTGCGATGGTACATTCGAACGCGCAGAAGCGACAGACAGTGACACGTGTGCATGAGTGCACGCGGTGCAGATGGCAGCGACGTACGATCTAGATGCGGTACGTGCTGCACGAGCTGATTTCTAGGCGATCCCGATCATTTTGAATTTAGACCTCGATTTCTTTCTCACTTTTCCGCCTTTCTTTTCTTTTCCGTGCATAAGAACGTCAAAAGAGAAACGCCAGGAATTGCGGTGACTTCTAATTTCTGCGTTACGAGTACTATCGCGTTATCAAAACTTGGTGAAACTCGACCGGGTGGGTGACTGGCATAAATTATATTAAAAACTAAATAAAAATTTGAAACAAAGTTGAAACAAAGTTGAAACAAAGTTGAAACAAAAATTAGAACTCTAAACCGAGATGAGTTAATAAAGTTAGATTAAAAACCAGACTGAGATCTTCGAATGATTTAAGAAAAAAAGGTATCAAAGAGCTATCGCATTAGTTGAACATAATGTATAGTAATGACAGATATTGAGCAGGATAGATGTGAGCAATATCGACGAAGCTGATTGTAGCGATATGAATATTAAATAATCTCACGGGAAATTCTTATAAATACTTGAGTCGGAGATCCCTGAGTACAGTGAAAAACAATTTTGGTAACAATTACTAAGAATTGGTTAAATAGTTTCAATTAAATTGTTTCATTATTGCAACAAAATCATTTGGTACATATATTATACTATAATAACACATATATACAGTATATGTCTATATGGATACTAAATGATTTGGTTGCAGTAATCAAGCAATTTAGTGAAACTATTTAACTAAATCTTGGTAATTGTTACCAAATCCTCTTTTCAGTGTATGGCGCGGGCATGGTTGATTTCACGGACGAAACACGGGCGACGAACGACTGATTTTCGGCAATTAGACGCGCACACGACGATTCACATGTAAATATACATTTCGTTCGACCTACAAATTCGATACACATAAGTGACGTACTGTCTATATCAGGTGTCCCGATTGTTACAGATGCTATAACGAATAATATATTGGACGACTGGACGATGAATTAATAATAACACCGAATCACGTTGAAATATTTCGATGTACCGCTTAATTTTCTCCATTCTTGCCAACAATGATTCCAAAAACGACTAACTACACGGATTTTTATGTTTCAGCTTGCGTGAAAGATAAATATCTTGCATTCTTGTATTGCACCGTGATACCAAAGTTATTGGAATCTCACGCTACTTTGTATTCCACGATGCAAGTGTCTCCTGAATCGTATATAAGGACGTTACGTATTTTAATAATTGCCACGCCATGCTGTCGAGGTGCACAAACGTGCAGCGACTCTAAACGGCTCCTGACAACTGCGAAAGTTTGTATCGATAATACAAGATACACGGCGCGACGCTGATGAACAAATAAAATAATTAACGCTTCTTCGCTCTGACATTGTGCAAAACGAATAATAATGTTATTTTACACACGAGAGATAATAAAATAAAACGAAAGTGGTAGAAAATAGCGAGAAATCATGGCAGGTAAAAAGGTTTAGTTGAATTCTTAGACAATGAACAAACCGAAGACATTTGATATGGTAGTGGATGTAGAATGAAAAAAAAACATAAATAACTATATAGTTGAGACTTCTCCTTTAAAATATTTACAAGGAACGCCCTACTTTTCTGCCAGATACATTTTCCAGTTGACATTTATAAAAAATGAGGAAAAAAAATATGCCTCCTGCAAGATAGTGCAGAGAGTGTGTAAAAAAACAGAATACTTTATGTTACTACGGTTAATCAATCAAATTTTAGTTCCTTAGACATAAGAACATGCTCCCCCTTCTTCCTAAGAAAAACTTTATTCTCTCCTGTTGTTTACTCGGAAAAAATTTAATTTACTAAACTTTGAACAAACCAAACGTGTTTTGATTGAAAGAAATAGAATTGTTGGTTCTTACGATCTAAATTTGGATTTTATAACCAGAAATTCTGTTTCTTTCAATCAAAACGCGTTTGGTTCGTTCACTGTCTAATAAATTCAACTAAAATTGTTTTCCATATTTATCTTATTAATAACAACGAAACGAAATATACCTGACATAGTTTATCATCATTTTCCGTCACTTTCGTTTTATTCCATTGATACCTCAACCAAAATTGTTTTCCGTGTGGCTAGAAATTTCACGAATTCCTTCGCAAGTTCGCTTATAATTACAGGCGATACCGAAAGTAGCAAAGCGGGAGAATTGTTCTGAAAAGGTACGTTCCGTCTGGGTAATGATAATTTTCGAATCTTGTAACAAATAACTGTAATACAACTCGCGGTGCCGGAACCTAATTATTAGACCCGATGCGATCGTCGTGGCACGTCCGCATGATGCATTTCTGCAAAGCCTTGCCACTCGATATCCTTCCCTCGCGGTAGTTTATCGCGCATCCCCCGGCGCTGCGTCGAAAATTGCGGGGTGCAACGTCGAAGATAAACGGCGGTACAAGGCGCGTGGGGTGCATAGCGGGTGTATGCTAGTATACGTACACACGCTATTTATATTCGGGGCCACGCGTGCACCGCGAAACCAGCGATATTGCCTTTCTGCGAGCGAAAAGGGGGACGATAGCTGGAGGGAGAGAGGGTATGGAAACTGGCCGACACGGTGCCAGCCGACAATACGGATTTCGGAAATTAAAAGCTTCCTGTTTCGAGCGCGAGACGGAACTAGGTCGTTGTCTCTTCAAGGGGGAAGTCGTGCTTTAACTCCGTCCTTTGACCCCTCGCCACCGCGAATCAGCACGAAGCCCGGAAATTGAGAGATGAACGAAAGGGATAGTGATTCGTCCCGTGTTAGCGAGCGAAGTGCTCGTTGAACAAGAATATAGCGCAAAGAGAGACGCGTAGGAGAAACGACGCGAGAGGAACGGACTGACAATTTCGCGATGTATTACACAATGTATCACAACAACCCATGTCATATAAAACATTGTGAAATTACTCGTTCCTACTATAAAAACATTATTTCAGGCGGAGATTTCAAGTAAAGAGAGAATCTAACGGAGGACCGTGTTTTTAATCGTAGTTCTGTACACGGCAAAAAGAATCAGCTCTCACAGTTAAAAACTAGTTCCTACAGGTAAAAATGAATGGTCCATGTAATATAACTGAAATTTAACTAACTTCTTCTGTTCCTGTACTTAGCTATGAAGCTAAAAAAACAGGTCTGATAACTAAATTTCAGTTGCATTATATGGACAGCTAATTCCTTTTTTCCGTGTGGTGAAGCGAATATCCCACTCGTCGTGCAATGGCACGACCGTCGTGAGCGATCGAAACTAGCGATCCTCCGAAAGACGATCTTCGATCGTTATTTACCCTAATTTATAGCGTCTACGGAATTCGAGCAGACGCCGAGCGCCGATCCGCGACGTTGATCGGTGCGCGCGATTCATTTGCGGCCAACTCGAGGTCGCAACTTTGGAATTCGCAAACACTTTTGCCCGCGATGTGTTACACGCTCGCGAATCGCGATATCGGTAACTGCACTTTGTTCGCTTAGATGTCACGTCACAACGTGAACATGTTGTTTTAGAGAACGTACGCGCATGTACGTTAGTAAGATGACGTGTACATGCGTAAGTCTGTCATGTACAGGATGTATATTTAATGAACCGCGTTATTTCTCAACAGATTCTCCACGAACGAAGAGACGGAGTAATGTAATTACCGAAGCCATGTTCTAAACTTCTCCACCGCGGCAATGATGAAACTTCCCACTCATGTAAGGTGATTTAGAATGAATCTAGTAACTCCTAATTGCGAAAATAGAAAAATTACTGGACTTCAAAATTGCGTTAAACATACTTTTTATTCGTGAAGTGAACAGCAAATCTTCCCTTTCTTCTCTTTCTATCTGAGATATATCATTTCAGCGAATTCGGAATTACTCCTTGTCACGCGACTAATTAAAATCCCCGATACATATAGAATAGGTAAAAATATCAAATATATACGTTAACAAAACAAGAAAAAAATTAAGTTAAATGTATATTTGTCTATGTAGAAACACGCGAAAGATAAGTCTCCAAAAGTCCGTGATAAAATCGGCTATCCGAGTGGGGCTAGCTGAGGAAAATAATTGGGCACACTTACGACGTCGATTATTTGCATGAGCGTGAGGCCGAAGCTCAGCACGAGGGGATCGGACTCGTTGCCCACCGGCCGCTCCAGGACGTTGTACGAGTCCAGCAGGTCGTTCAGCAGCTTCTTCTCGTGGTAACCGCCACTTACCAGCCCTGCCCAATTACAATCAGTAGTCAGTCAGAAGTCGCACGAGTCAGTCGCGACGATTTCCTTCGTCCCGTTGATGTCGCATCACCTCGCATCACCTCGGGAAAAACGCAAGAAATGGAAGCGGGATAACGCAGGAAAGACTATCTATCTCTCTTTCTCTCTCTCTCTTTCTATCTTTTTTCCTTTCTCTTTCCCTTCCTGCCTATCTCTCTCTCTCTCTCTCTCTTCCTCTCCTCTTCCTCTCCACTCGACTTCCGTCGGTGTTTGAAGAACGTTTATCTTCTTAGGGCTGTGAGCCCAGACCTACCCCACCTACCTACCTACCCTATCGTTCCTATAACCATCCCAGTCCAAAGTTCTGGACTACTTTTCGCGAATACACAACTTCGTGTTCTCTCCCCCTCTCTCTCTCTCTCCCCCTCTCTCTCTCTTTTTCTCCCTCCTCCCTCCCTCTATCTCTCTCTCAGTCCTCGTCTCTATCTCTGGATCTCTTTCTTCTTCTCTTTTCTTACTTCTTCGTCGCTTGCTGCCTGTCTCTTTCCCTCAGTAAGTCTTACTTTTCCACCTTTCCTTCCCTGCTTTCTACCATTACGTCTTGCAGTTTATCTTTCTTGAATAAATCACCCCTTTTGTCTTTCTTTCTTTCTTTAGACTACGCTGCCGGTTTTTATTACACGGCTTTTCCTCTCTGCCCGCCTCATCCTCTCTCGCATTCTCTCTTACTCTGTTCAGCTTTAATTTCTCTCTCTCTCTCTCTCTCTCTCTCTCTCCTCTCTCTCACTCTCTCGCTTTCTTCCTCACCTTCTCCCCCGTCTGTTATGCCGCGAATAACGAAGCGTTTTGTTCAACTGAGAAGCGAATTTGTGGTTCGTAAAATTTAATAACTTTTCAACAATTTTGTTGCTGGCATTAGTAAGTTGAAAATTTACTTATACATCCTAATACGTTTGTAACAGATGTATTTAATTTTCCGTTGTATTCGCGTTTAAACTTTATAATATTTGAGATAAACATCTCCTTGCACAGGTGAGCCGCGCGTGTAATCTTCTTTATGTAATATATTTATATAATATTTTATATGTACTTGAGAAACAAATACATTTTTTCATTGTTGTCTGAAATGTGAGTACGTAGAAGATATGATGATAATAAAAAGACGTAACTCTTAGCCACTCTCTGGGGTACAGTATTTGAAATTTGCTCTTTAATAATTCATAGATTAATAGATAATAGGATAAATTCAATGGATTAATGCGGAGATTAACGAAGTGTTCGAGCTTTGTAAATAGCTACATCAATATATCGAGGACCTGATACTTGGACTAAAGTTTCATATTGCGGCGGGAGTTTATCGACACTTATCGACGTCTCGAGAAGTAAGATACCGAGGCTGAAGCGGCTTAAAGCCGAACAAGTATAACGGTAATCCTTCGTCAATCAGGCTACGAGGGAACGGTGCCGAACTAGTTATGTTCCAATTTCTGACAATATTATATAATTATTCGCGACATGGATCCAATTAATTAACGTATTTGTTTATGTATGCTGCAGAACACATTTATAAAAACCAGATATGTGTTGCATATAACCCTCGATTTTATCTAATTTTAATAATTATTAGTTTTAACAAATGCAGCTCCGGTGACTTCGGCATTGACATATATTGTTGAGAACATTCTTCCGAATAAGCTCCAGAAGGTCCGGCGATTTTTATTTTATTGCAAAATTATTAACAAAAGAAGGTTTATCAGCAGCCCGAAGTATGAAGATGATCTCCAGGCTGAGATAAAATTTTCCATTTGGACTCTCTCATGTTAAAATGACATGTCGAGCTAAGATGAAATCGCTATCGTAAGATTTCCAATATTAATTATCGCAATTAATTGTACCAGGTTTTCAAACAAAATTCTATGAAAAAGTATCCACAACTTGAAATTAAATGAAAAGTTTTCATCTCTATTGACTTCAGAAATGTTTTGGCACTGAAAAAGGTTCTTTCCAGTTCGATTTCTGGTACACAGTCGAGAGAGAAAACACATTGACATTCGCGCGATACTCCGAACAATAGAATTTAACGTAAAAATCTATCCTCATTGCCCGAATTTCATCGACGACCGTAAAGCGTCGGCTCGTTGCATGTCGCCTTCATGTCGTTAGTATTCGCGCTCCCTCGCGCGCGCTTCCGCCGCAGAACAGACAAACTTTGCATTCCGCGCACGCATTTACATCGTGGCACCGCCTACGAAAGTCGGGACAAAGGCGCAAGAATGCGAATTTAAACGCCGCGATGCGAATCCGCAGACAGTATTCGCGGGGCGAGGAAAAAATACTACATATAACCAAGACACGAACATTCGCTCTGCATAAATTCATTCTGTAAACGAACACAATAATGAAGGGTGATAACGCTTCAGAAAATATATACTTGTCTCGCTTCAACTTATTGCACTAGTTCAGCGGTGCAGCAAAAACGAACAGACCTAATGTTACCGGAGCACCGTATGAAAATAATAATATAACGGTTAGTTACGCGAACCACTCCCACATTGCGTCGTAATAATATATTTCAAAATATATTCCCTCGCAAATAATATTCTTACATCCGGCTGTCCTGCGAAAATCTCTCCATCTTTATCGATACGCCCAATCTCCGAAGTCGCGAAGTATTAAGTACGAATGCATTTCCTTGCAACCGACGGCATCTCGCCCGTATCCCTCGGTGAAACGATGAAAAATGTACGCGCCAGTTTCTTCCCGGCACTTTCGAGAAATTCTCGTTATCCGCGCAGCATCGTTCCATCTTCCGACGTTGTAATGAAAACGCCGCAGCGTAAGCCAAATTTTAAAACCGTTAGACATATGGCATCCTTGGGAAATATAACGGATAATTGAATTCATAAATAGTTCAGAAGGGAGAAAACGGGACGAATCTAACTTCGAGACCTTGCCGGGACGAATTTACCGGAGTACCGCGCGAATTTCGCCTCCGAGCGTAATATGGAGCGCGAGGATCAAAATGCAAAGTGTCCTCCTCACTATTGCATACTCGGGATCGAATAGAGAACAACCAAAGCAACCGGAGTTGAGACGCGAGCAAATGAATTTTTCGCGATCTTCTACATTTTTTGACGAAACCGGGAATTCGATTTCGTGTGTCACGTACAAAACGACAGGATTGCGCAGATACCACGTAACTCCCTGTTTTTCGCGATCATACAAGAATATTTTTTTTCTATAATCAATAAATAAACGGTCGGCTCTTTCCTTGAAATACGACAGATTAAAATCTAAAGTTAGAAATATAAGAGGTCCTGGTGCGCCTCCGACTAAAATTAGTTAACGTTCGGACATTCCTCGTGCGAGTTTGGGCTGCGGCTTAACGATAACATTTTATCTTCCAGTAGGTGAGACCTTTAAGTTTCATACGCGACCATTCGCACGGAATTCCGTGGTTACGGTCCCGCGGCGCATTTTATTTCGCGTTCCTCGCAGAAGATCGGGTGGTTTTACGGTGCCGAGCGAGCATGAAACGAAAGAAAGGAATCGCTGACGCGCCCGGACGTCGCGATTCGCATGATTTTACCCCGGGGAATGAATTCCAACCAGCTACGATCATCACGGGAACCCCCATCGACGAATAAAGTATCGTCTTCCATGAATATGGGCCGTAGAACGTAGCAGCGAAAAGGGATCGAGATCACTATTTTAAATATTCCTACTTTTATCTAACCACAAAATTACCGAAAAAGAGTCGAAACACTTTTTCCCCTTATTACTGATACCAGAGGTCTCGTTCCTTTCTCTTTTGTGAAAATGAGAATATAAAACTTATACGTCATTCGATAAACTTCCTATTTTTACACTACGATATTAGTTTACAGGTTATCGATTATGAAAAGAAAGTATAAGCGAAAAAAAGATAGCAATTTAACCGTGATAAGCGGCAGAATGAAAGAAAAAGATCGATTCATGTTATGGTAAATTCGATAATCGAGCAGGATAGTTGATATAATTACGCAGAACGAAACGCGTGTGCAAACAGTTGAACAACCGGCGACGAATTATCTCCGACTAAAAGGGACTATGCAAATAGTTTCACCGATAAAACCCGCGTAGGGGTTTCCGTGTGGAGAACATTAATTCCGGGCTCTCACGTATGGAAACTGAAGCTCCTTATGGCCGACTTCCACACAATTCTTATCAGGATTTGAATTGTGGTAAGTGCAGGACTCGGTATTCCTCGGGGCGTAAATAAAGATCACGTCGGAAGCCGGGCCAAGGTTATCACATCCGCAAAATGGATTCGGAGAAGATTTCTTTGCCACAGTACAGCGTCATTCATGAAAATTTTACACTTGCTCGCGGAGCGCTATACGGCTCGCCATATATTACTGTATAATCGATCGACAGAAACGCGTGCAAAATTTAGCCCGGCTTCCCTTGAAAATATATCTTTTTGTTCTTTGATGCGGCAACAGCAACGTTTTTTCGAAATGTCACGCCTCCGATTGACGAGAATTGCGATTCAATAGCGCATACGCTGCATTGTTTGCACCCTAGTGCAAATTATCGCATATCAAATGCCCGATATCGAGAGAGTCAATCACATGCGAATTTAACTTCGTAAAGCAAATCATCCGTTTTTCGTTATTTTATATCGTTTGACGAATTCTCGGAATATTTTACGGCTTTTATCCGAATCACGATAAAGGGAGAGAAAGAGAAAAAGAGCGAGAAACCTCGTCAACGAGCGCGCGAGAACGAGATAAATCTGAAGCTATAAAACCGGCTACGCCTGTATCTTATTCATGCCGGATTTTTGCCATAAATCTGAACACAATGCCGTAAAATCTCCGACAAGATAGCGAGCAATAAAATATCATGGAGTCGCCGGGAAATTTTTTCCTCATTAGATTCTCGTCACGTTCGCGCGATTGACATATGGTACTATCGGCAGCAAGTACAAGTGACGCGGGAGATATTGACACGTACACGCAGTATT